CATAATACAATTAGATATATTTTTTTAATTATAAGTTATATAGTTGTATTATACTTATATCGAACCAAAAAAAACACAACAATGATGTTCAAACAATTAAAAGCCTAGAGATAAAATGCTCAAACCAATTTTTAGAAACATCCTTTTTTATTTTCCATAAATGAGCGACATTGAGGTATTTTGACAAACAAGACAGAGATAAATAAATCATACTTTATTTTAGCTCGTTAGCTCCTTTTTATTTGAAATAATGTAAGATTTGTATTGGTAGGTTGAACGGTCCACACAGTTATATATGCCTATAGCAGATACTGAACAACGTTAAACAAAATTTGAGGATTAAATAAAAATTAGACTTTTGTTGTCACACGTAGTATTGTCAATCCAGTTTAACAAACATTTCTTCATATCTTTTTTTCGCTGATGTTTAATTCTGTTTACTTTAACGTACTAAACATACAAAAAAAATTGAGGCGTGTTTGATTTTTAGTACGGGATATAACTTAGCATTATAATAAATATGATTTGAATTTTGTTTAAGACATTATTTTTATATTTTTTGTTGACCCCGAAAAATTGCTCGGACACGTGGTCAACTGGATATGTTTTCACGTCAGTTTCTCCATGCACACAATAGCACACCATTAATCACTCGTGGCCTTTTCCGGTGGGGTGGGAAGCGGCCGCGAGCACTCCGACGATTGAGTCAGTGTTTCAGTTAATTGGGAAGTGATGTCCGGCGGCGAGGTAGTCACCGGGGTGTGTAAGTATATGTCGAAAGTTATGATGTAAAGCTAGTAAAATTCGGATCCATTACTCTTACCAGTATGAGGGTATTTATACTAAGATAGGAAAGATGTGGACCGTTGGATGAAAGGACACGTGACTTCAGATCCTGTATGAGTCATCATCTCATAGGCGTCAATCCGTTAATTTGTAGGTTGGCAGACATTAAATGGTTTCTGACATATTGACCATTTGTGGCTTGCCACACGTCCCATCAATCAGTCAGAAACTTGACTTTTGAGATCTCCTAAAAGATCTTGGCGAGGGTGTGGCGAGAAGGATTGCGAAGTGCAGAGTGCGGGCCTTTGCATCCGTCGTGAAGGACGGATGAGTTCGGTTCTTCTATGAGGTGGGGTAATAGTGCTTCAGTTCGGAGTCATGAAATCAGTTCATCCTACATGCATTTAGTTCGTCTGCCACGTGGCAACATCAGATCGATTTGGAGTTATAGAATCAATTCGTCCTACATGCATTCAGTTCATCTGCCACGTGGCAACATCAGATCGATTCGACCAACACGTGGCGAACGAGATGGATGAACGAGGTGGATGGCTTCAGAAGACCCGTAACATTTTTAAAAAAAGTCTTGAAACTAGCGAAAAAGTGTGATGGAAAATATCTAATACAAGTGATGTATTTGCAAATATCAAATAAAGTGGGAGCCAGCCAATTATATACACCAAGCCAAGGGAGCTCCCAATAGATCTTTTGAATCTACTCTAGATTTTCCCAACATGTGTGTTTGCTTTTCATTATTGTCAATTCATTTTTTCTTAGATTCCGAATCCATTGTATGATAGCTTTTATTAGTTTGTTCATGCTATTTTTCTTGTATTTTATCCACCCACCCTACGTTAAAATGGATCATATCATGGATTTGTCTGAGTAAAGTCACAAGCCTAGGTGCACGAAACCGCTACATTTAAGTTGGCATAGATTGACAAAATCTTTACCCGATCGATCAAAATCCGGCTACTAGGATTATATTATTTAATTAAAAATAATTTTCAAAAAAGGGAATAATTGACTAGCTACATGCGCCACCTGACATGGACAACGTGGTTCAACTCCTCAGATCATCGAAATTATCACTTTGCCGAGCCAAAAAAAAAAACTAGGTCAGATTTGTGCCCTTAGTTTTTGTTGACCTAAAAAAACGAGTCAACAAAATCCTAGGCCAAATGCCTGCATGTAAGCTCATTTTCTACACACTTTGACAAACTTTTAGTCATCTGTATCCTTCTTCGATGGCAGAAGAGGTGATCGCGAGTATTTCGATGGTCAAATCAGTCGATGGAAAAAAAAATATATTGAGTGTGAGACGAGCTTTAAGGAGCAAGTCACAAAAGTGTATAAAAATCGAGATATATGATTATAGAGAGCAATTCTTATCACTCCTGTTGGATCTTGATGAAGTGGGAGGTGTCTTTGGTTGAATGAGGAGGCTCCCTCCTACAGCACATATAGCACCTCGCTTAGGCTATGGAAGTCAGCCTCTATATGGCACTTCAGCATAGATGGTATGGTATCAACTAGTAATGATCGATTTTTCATAAATGAATTCAAGAAGTTTTTTTTTTTTTTGTATTACTATTAGGGTGCGTTTGATTGCAAGGGTGGAAAGAAAATGTTTTACAGGGAAAAAGTTTGTTTAGAAAATGTTTTGCAGGGAAAATGATTTCAAGTGTGTTTGATTGGTATAATTTTCCACCCGAAAAATTTTTAAATTTTCTATTCGTTTGGCTTTGTTTTACATGAAAATTGTCGATTAAAGCGATATTTTTTNAACTACACATTATTTAATAAAATAATATTTTCCAGTGCATCAATAACGTTTTCTTAATTTTTAACTACATATTTTCCATCATATCACTATTTAAAATACATTATTTTCTCAATAATATCCATCAAACGCACAATAAGTCACAAGTAAATAAAATAATCATCAATTTGAAAAAAAAAAAAAAACTATTCAAGGTCAACTAAGAAAAGGTTTACTTTGTTTAGTTGGGACAATAGTTTTTCAATTTTAGAAAATTAAATAGATTATACCATGTTTGGTAGATATTAAAATTCAGACTTTAATTTAATCAGACTTTAATTTAAATTAAAGTCAATGGTTAATTTCAATTACATATTTTATGAGATCCATAACTTTTCAATCAAACGTTTCATCAACTTTATCAAAATTTAT